GGAAGGGGGCGGGGAGGGGGGGCGGGAGAGCAAAATATCTATGTGAGAGAGACACACATCGATTGGTTGCCTCCCACATGCGCCCTGACCGGGCTGGGAATCGACCCAGCAACCAAGGTACATGCCTTTGGACGGAACTGAACCCGGAACCCTTCAGTCTGCAGGCTGACGCTTTATCCACTGAGCCAAACTGGCCAGGGCAGAATGTTTTGATTCTGGCTGGGGTAGAAGCAGGGGTCTTCTTCCTGGTAGAGGGTTTCAGGTATATCAGAGCAATATCTACATCAGGATTGGGAATGATGACAAGATTACAAATATATCTTGACCTTGATAGGTCTTTAAATTGATAAGAGTTTTTAGAAGGGAGAGAAGTCATCTTCATGGAAGAGGTACATTGTCTTATTCTGTCTGTGAGTATGCAAGAAAATACATTAGTGTGAGGCCCGGAAATATGCTTTATTTTAGTAGCTAATATTCAAAAAGCAAAATTCATTTTATCAACTATGTTTCATTGTCTGTGATGGCCTGCCAATAACTTAGCCACAAACCTAGTCCAGAAAAGAAACCATAGTCCAGTTTAGAGTGTATTGATATTGAGGGTCATATATAAGAGCCACTCATTTGATCTTATCCTATAAATCTGTGATGGTGTCCTGTTCTTTCTGTACTACTCAGCTTAATAGGCAGACAACCTTTAGGGAGTTAAAGCAGCTTAGTTATGTATCCTGTTAATTCAATTCTGATTCCCATGGTCTTGTTTAGTTTTTCCTTTTTCATAAGTGCTGTGCTTCTATAGTATTTTCACACCTGTCCAGATTGTAGCCTTAAAAACAAAACCAGAAAAAACCTAGAGTAATTCTTTATATTAACTAAAAAGTGATTCCTACTGAAGTAGAGAAATCCTAATCAAGGTGGTTCTTTTGTGGAGATTCTTTCATCAGTTCAGCAGTATTTACTAAATGCCCAATATGTGCCAGGCAATGTTATAGGTTTTGAAACTACATCAATGAATAAAATTGTCTAAAATACTTGCCTACAAGGAGCTTACATTCCATTGGGCAAGACAGACAACAAGTATAATTAAAAAGTGAATTATATACTATGTTAGAAGGTAGTAACTGCTATGGGGGAAGACAAGATAGATGGTAACATGGGAGTGTTGCAGTAAGGGTGGGGTAGTAATTTTAAATAGGGTAGTCAGGGCAAACCTCACTGAGAAAGTGACATTTTAGCAAGGACTTGAAGGCGGTAATGGAATAAGTCACATGAATATCTGAGCAAAGAACATCCCAGGATAGAGCAGCCAGTGCAGAATTTTTGACTTATGTTTGAATATTATGGTTGATGAACAGAGAATCACTGTGACTTAGTGCAGTAAGTTAGGAGTTGAAGGCAGAGAGGCTGTGAGCATTGAGGAGGCCTTTTGGGCTACTATGAGTACTTTGGCTTTTATACTATGTGTAATTGAAAATAAACCCTACTATGATCAAATAAGTTTTCTTCTTTAGAGATATAGGGTCAGGAGAAGGTAAGCAGTCAGAGAAGGAACTTCTAGTCTTAGGATAGCATAAATTAATGTGGTATCCTAAACATAAACTTATAGCAAAACAAATAATAAGATTTTTGCTGATATTTTCTACTTTATTTTTGATTGTAGGGACTTTCAGTTACCTTGATGATGTCCCATTTAAGATAGGAGACAAATTCAAAACACCAGCTAAAGTTGGTCTACCTATTGGCTTCTCCTTGCCTGATTGTTTGCAGGTTGTCAGAGAAGTACAGGTAAGTGGTGATTTTTAAAGTTTAGTGCATTTAAAAATTTGATGAATAAGAACTTGATGTATAGTGAAATAGAAAAAAAATATTCTCTCTTATTTGTATTTCTTGTAGCTTCTGTTATTGCCTAGCTCACATTGTGTGTGACACACACACACACACACACTTGTATGTCTGTTACGATCTTGTGTAATTTGTTAGGTTGCATATTTCTGGGATTCTGTGCCTTGTCCGAAACAAATGCCCATTGCCTATGTGACTTGCTTATTCACCTCTTTTCCTTTTCTTTACTAATATCCTCATTATCTTCTCAATCACTCAAGTTAGATAATATTTTTCTCTTGACTGTCTCCCCCCTTTACTGCCTAGTCTATCCATGTTCCCTCCAAACTAGGTTACTTGGAATTAGTTGAACATACTTGTATATTACCTGTCTACCATGCTTTTTCTCATGAGCTGTTATCTCCACTTGGAATATTTCTCTCTCACCATACTGAAAGCTATTGCTCTTCTGGAATTGTGCTGAAATGCTATCCCCTCAAAAGCTTCTTTCTCAACCCTCTCATCTTTAAAGCTCAGTTATATATAAATTCTCTCTCTCTATAGAATTACTTCTTGAAAGCAGCAAATAGCCCTATGTTATGTGACTTCCTTTCTTCCCTCAGTACACATTTATTGAATTCTTGCTTTTGAGTGGTGCTCTGTTAGGCTGAGGATAGAGAGAAATGCCTTAATCACTGTCCTCAAGGGGTTTACAGTTTAGAGGAGTCAAGTGGAAAAAGAGTAAAGTACACTACTTATTCAGACACTTCTTCCTGTGACTTAAGATTTTTTTAAATATACTTTCTGTCAAAGTTGTTTTGTTTCTGGGGGATTTACTAAGGCATCAGCCTGTTATTCTAAAAAGTATTCTTTGTTATATCTTTCAGTCTATATGCAGTGAGTAATCATAGTGGGAATATTTCAGCTATATTTTTTAAAACAACAGCTTTATTAAGATATAATTCACATACCATAAAATTAACCCTTTTAAGGTGTGCAAATAAGTGGTTTTTAGTATATTCAGAGTTGTATAACCATCATTATGGTCTTCCAGAACACTTTCATCACCCCCCAAAAAACCTAGTGCCCATTAACAGTCACTCCCTATTTTCCCTTCTCCCACAGACCCCTGCAAAATACTAAATCTACTTTCTGTCTCTCTAAATTTGCCTATTCTGGATGTATTTAAATGGAATAATATAACATATAGCCTTTTGTAACTGGCTTATTTCACCTAGCATAATGTTTTCAAGATTTGTTCATGTTGTATGAATGAAGTATTAGTACTTCATTTATTTATGGCTGAGTAACATTCCATTGTATTGATAATACCATATTTTGTTATTTATCAGTTGATATTTTGGTGGTTTCTGCTTTTTTACTATTAATAATGCTGCTATGAACATTTGTATACAGGTCTTTTTGTGGATATATGCTTTCACATTTCTTGGGTATATACCTAGGAGTGGAATTGCTGGGTCATATGGTAACGATAATCTTTTCAGGAATTGCCAGACTTTTCCAAAGTGGCTGCATTATTTTATAATCACACCTACACTGCATGAGGGTTTCAGTTTCTCCCTGTCCTCTCCAGCTCTTGTTATTTTCTGTCTTTATACATCCTTGTGCAGTAGTCTCTTACTGTGGTTTTGATGTACATTTCCCTAATTACTAATGATGTTGAATATCTTATATATTTTTGAATACTAAATTGATTGATATTCCTTTTGTTTGTGGAGACTTTAGTGGACCAGGAAAGATACAGATTTCTCTTATAAAGTTTTACCTTGTTTTGTTTGCCTGGTGACTTTTATTGATAACAACAAATATTCAGTAAACACCTCTGTGTGTGCAGGATACTATTAGCAATATGATTAAAAAACACCCTCATCTTCTTTCATTAGTTCTCATATTATTCATCACTTTGTTGATCCATTAAAGAAACTTGTTTTGAATGCTGTGAATTTTCTATTTATTTGATCAGTGTTCACTATACTCATAGCACCCACTAATAACAAAAGGGGATCTCTGAGCTCTATTCCTGTGTGGGCCAGCTGAAATGTTTTTGTTCTCTAATTGCAGAAAAAGCGTTAAGTTTTGACTGCCTGGGGTCTCCGTGGGGAATTTGGCTGTGGTATTGATGCTGGATCCCTCCCTATGCAGGAAGAGTCAGACCTAGAGCCATAAACAGCTAGCTTGAAGCTTCCTATAACTTTGTCATATTTGCCATTACATGGTAATACATATCAATTTTTCAGTTGAAAATTCATCAAGGGGAGTCAGCAAAACCCCCCAAAAAACATACATAACCCTTGCAGCCATGGTCTGGAAAGTTTTCATTGAATGTGGTGGTGGTAGCCACAGTGGTCTTTAGTGTCAAGGTTTAGAGTAGATTCTGTTGTCATTCATTCATGGGCTGGAATTGCCATGTAATAGCTGTGTAATCTTGTACAGATTGCTTAAACTCCCCAAACCTCATTTCCTCTATAAAATGGGGATAATTAGTTTTTAAGGTTGCTATAAGGATTAAATAAAATAATGCACTTATAATGCTTACTCTGGTTTCTGGTACTCCATAAATTTTTTGCTGTTATTATGTATTATAGTACACTCAAACTACATTCTTATTTTTTCACTGTAATATTTCTGCTATCTTTTCCTGTATTTTTTCTATGTTCCACATATTCTACATTACTTTAGTAAATAAAAAATAAAAGCTCAGTGAAGTTTTTTTTAAAGGAAAGAAATTTCCAATTATTCTTGGGAGTAAAACATCAGACACCTGTGTTTACAGGGAGCTGGAAGTTGGTTACAGCCTCAGTTTCTGGTAGCCCAGGTGTTTCTGAGGCCCAGCAGCTGGCTCAGGGGTGTAAATAAACTTGACATGTGCATTTCCAGGCTTCTCTTGTGTTGTTTGAAGCGGAAAGCTTGGGAATGACCAGAGGTGGTTTATTACTATGTTTCTTCTACTCTCTTTTCTCTGCTTTCCCTCTCTTTTTTACTGTTAATATGTCTCCAACCTTGAACATGCACACAAGACATTGATTAGCTTTGGTGCTTTAGAGTGAACACCATAGGTTTTGTTATCTTCTATTCCTAGGTGAATTTTGTTTCTATATAATAGGTGTACTTTTTCAAGTGTGCAAATGAAATTTTTGTAAATTTAGCTATACTTTAAGATATTGTTAAGTTAACCATGAAGTAAATCCTTGTGCAATTTACTTTGTAAAATCTTAATTTGAATATGTCTAGATTTCTTAATAGCAGTTTTCTTGCATTTAGAGCACAATCTGTTCATTATAATTTGATGGTGGTTTAAGAAGCGTAGAATCTTTAGATTGCCTGGGCTCTACCACTTAACAACTTTTATTACCTTGGGCATACCCTTTGTAAAGAATGATAACAGTAGTACCTACTTTAAAGGGTTGTTGAGAAAATCTAGAGAGCTATTACATAAACTGTGCTTTGAATCATTTGTGGTACCTTTTAAGTGCTTCTTAAATGTTAGGGATTGTTATTATTGAGCACATTATTTATTAGGACATGTGCTAGATAATAGAGACCTTAAGGCTTAAAGCCCAGTTTGCTGCCCACAAGAGGCCTGTGATATTGTTGGGGAAGTGTTTAGAGAAAGATTAAAGCTACTGTGGTCACATGTGTTCTGTATCAAATGATAGAGACAGATGCTTTATAACAGTTCAGAGGAAGGAACAGACCATCAGGAAAGCTTCGTAGAGGAGGTGGCTAAGCTTTGAGCCACCAATGAAGACTTCTAGGAAGGGAAATGGCCTGAGGAGCATACTGTGATTAAATCCTATAAGATTAGGAGGCCTTAGTCCTCCTGAGTGGAGATCATCCAATACCCCTTAAATGCTGCATTGGGGAGGGGCAGCCATCTGGGTTCACCCCTTGTTTCTCTGATATATCTTTGCAGTATGACTTCTCCTTGGAAAAGAAAACCATTGAATGGGCTGAAGATATTAAGAAAATCCAAGAAGTCCAGCAGGAAGCAGATCGCAAGGCTGAGGAAGCAGAAGCTAACGTGAATTCTAAGAGTGGCCCGGAGGGTGATAACAAAATGAGCTTCTCCAAGACTCAAAGTACAGCCACAATGCCACCTCCTATTAACCCCATCCTTGCCACCTTACAGCACAACAGCATCCTTACCCCGACTCGGGTCAGCAGCAGTGCCATGAAACAGAAAGTTCTCAGCCCACCCCACACAAAGGCAGATTTCAATCCTGCTGACTTTGAGTGTGAAGAAGATCCATTTGATAATCTCGAGTTAAAAACTATTGATGAGAAGGAAGAGCTGAGAAACATTCTGGTAGGAACCACTGGACCCATTATGGCTCAGTTATTGGACAATAACTTGCCTAGAGGGGGCTCTGGGTCTGTGTTACAAGATGAAGAGGTCCTGGCATCCCTGGAGCGGGCAACACTAGATTTCAAGCCTCTTCACAAACCCAATGGCTTTATAACCTTACCACAGTTGGGCAACTGCGAAAAGATGTCGCTGTCTTCCAAAGTGTCCCTCCCCCCAATTCCTGCAGTAAGCAATATCAAATCCCTGTCTTTCCCCAAACTTGACTCTGATGACAGTAATGAGAAGACAGCCAAGCTCGCAAGCACTTTCCATAGCACATCCTGCCTCCGCAGTGGCACGTTTCAGAATTCCCTAAAGCCTTCTACCCAAAGCAGTGCCAGTGAACTCAATGGTCATCATACTCTTGGGCTTTCAGTTTTGAACTTGGACAGTGACACAGAGGTGCCAACTCTGACCCCTTCTGATATCTCCCAGATGCCTTCCCTCTCTGTCTTGTCTGTGTGCACAGAAGAATCTTCATCTACAAATACAGGTCCCACGGTAAGCCTTTTAAATCCCACTAAATTAAAGGTCTGATTTCTAAATTCTACCCAGCAATTGCCACCTTCACATTCTTTTCAAGGTTTAGGGCAAGATGGGCATGGCCAAATTGACCTTGCTTATATAAGTATATGTAGTTCTGGTTATTTTTCTGAGGACAAGGATTATTAGTTCTGTACCTACCCTGGTTGATATGGGCTTGTTCCTGCCTGAGTCCTTTGGTCTTTTCCTTTGAAAAGATAATGTATGTCATGTGAATAGTGTTTTCCTGCCTAATCAGTTTCTTTGCTGCATGTCTTGTGTTTGCATTTTTTAAAAGGCTTTCCTTTTTTGTATCTTTTAACTTTTTCCTATTACCTTTCTTCATTTTTTTTTTTTTTTGATGTTTGTTTGGTACTCTTCATTATATCTTCTCCCTACCTCATTTTTCCTTGAAGTTTGGTTCTTGTGTGTACCATGGTTCAGCTAATTTGAGGTTGTTTCTTCAGACTGGGTGGTACCTTAGTACCTGAGAGATAATTTGTATTGGAAGTCCAAGCAAAACAGAAATTTGTCACTTTTAAACCTATAGGTTTTAGTACTGCCCCCCCCCCCC